CTTCGGGAGGGCCCCAGGTCCAGATAGCCATGCCCCGCTCTGCCTGCTGGGTCCTCCCGCAGTTGATGTCTATTGGGTACTGCCGCCTGCAGGAACTCAGTTCGATTGTGGGGTCGATGCTTTGTTCCAAAAGCCCTGGAGTTTCCTGTCAGAGGCGCCTAATCCATCTGCCTGACCCCAGGCTCTCCCTTCAGCTCTGTGCTCAGGCCGGGTTGGGGTGAGGCATCAGTGTCTCATGTCTGCAGGAAGGACAAGGCTGTCTAGGCCTTCCTCTACCCAGGTGGGCAGAACTCCAGCCCTGGGACCACAGCTCCTTTTCTGGCAGCCCACACAACTTCCTTCTTTTGGTTTCTTCTTTTTTATCTCAAAGTTGGGCCTTCAGTGTCCTGACTCAGGACAGTTTCCACCTCCTGGAACTGGTGGGGTCTCTAGGGAGGGCTCAGGGTCACCCCTCGGGTGATGGGAGAGGTTAGGGGGCCTGCCCCAAAGCCTACCATAGGCTGTTAATGTTCCCAAGGAAGGGGCTCCTCTGGGAGGCTTTGCGGTCTGGGTGCTGTGGGCCTGCTCGGGGAGCCTGGACCTACCCAGGGATAGCATGGCCCCAGGTATAGCCCAACTTCCATACACCTGGGGTAGGTTCTTCTCTTGCTGGGCCTCATTTTCCTCATCTGTCCAAAGGGGCTAATGCTTCCTGCCTGACCTTCTGCCTGAGCGGGTTGCGAAGGTGAGACAGTATGAAAGGTGCCTGCTGTGGCCCAGTGCCTCTCCCTAGAGAGGATGTGCAGAGCCGTGTGTGAGTGACAGCTCACACACCACTGTGACCTGGGTGCTGGTATGTACATTCCCTAGGAGCACGAGTGACCGAGGTCTGTGTGGGAGCTAGGTGTGACTGTGTGGCACTGCAAGGTTTCTCAGTGTGGGTGAGCCAGTGCCTTAGGTGTAGGATTACCAGATTTAGCAAATATTTGGGATGTACTTATAGTAAAAATGTAGTTGTTGCTTATCTGAAATTCTAATTGTACTAAGTGTCCTGCTTTGTTTTTTTTGAGATGGAGTCTCACTCTGTTGCCCAGGCTGGAGTGCAATGGTACGATCTTGGCTCACCACAACCTCCACCTCCTGGGTTCAAATGATTCTTCTGCCTCAGCCTTCAGAGTAGCTGGGAAACACCTGACCTTGTGATCTATCTGCCTCAGCCTCCCAAAGTGCTGGGATTATAGGTGTGAGCCACCGTATCCAGACCATTTTTATTTTAAAGACAAGATCTTGCTCTGATGTCCAGGCTGGAGTACCGTGGTACCATCACAGCTCACTGCAGCCTTAATTCCTGGGGCTAAAGTGGTCCTCTCTCCTCAGCCTCCTGTGTAACTGGGACCACAAGTATGCACCACCACACCCAGCTAACTTTTTAATTTGGTAGGGATGGGTTCTCCCCAGGCCGGTCTCAAACTTCTGGTCTCAAGCAATCACCTGCCTTGGCCTCCCAAAGTACTGGGATTATAGGTGTGAGCCATTGTGCCTGGCCTTAGTTGTCCCATGTAAGTTGGGTAGACTAATAGAATTTCTGTCATGACAATGAGGATGAAGTGAGTTAGTCCCATGGAGTGCTTAGTACAGTGCCTGGCACACAGTGACTGCTCAATAAATGCCACAGTTGCTATCTGTTTTCAGTCCCGAACTTCCTTCCCCCAGGTCTGGCATCTGTCTCTGAGGCCTGGCCTCTGTCCTACATCTTTGTTCCTCAATCTGGAGGTAATGCTTTCTCCTGAGTGGGGTTAACCTAGAGCCTGGAGGGTTGAGAGGGAAGCAGAGGTGGCTGAAATGACATTTTGTCCCCCTCCCTCACCACCAATCCAAGCAGAGCTGCAAAAGGCCTGCTTTCAACAGCATTTGCTCCTTGCTCCACACAGCCCCTCCTTAGTGTCTGACAGCTGCACACCAGGACAGTAGCGAGGCACAAGGGGTCTGTCCATGTCTAGCCAGAGAGCAGCACGGCACTGAGATGCCCACATTCCAGGGGCTGGCTCCCAGGACCACATGGGGACTGGTGTGGGCAGAATTCTCTAGGGACTCTGTCCGAAAATGGGGCTGAAGGCTCTGCCCGGGGTCAATGGTCCAAATCCACACCTAGAACAGGCCTGCAGCAGGTTCAGCTTCCACGGGCACTGCTGTCGGGGACTCCTGCCAACCACTGCTTCCTGCCCTGAGTCCCTGGTGTCCTGGGTCAGCAGGTATCTCCACAGGCTTCCGGGGGGAAGGCTGCCTCTTTCAGCACCTTCTAAATTTAGGGCTTGGGCTCCGTGACTCACTCCTGAGTCTGCTTTGCTCCCCTCCTCAGGAGTGCGCTCCCACGGGATCTGCGTCCTCTGCTGCCTCAGACTGATGACAGCCCACAATCCTGCAGCAGCCACACATACACCAAGGAGAACTCCTGGCCCCACTCTCCTCAGGCCAGCCAGGCGCTGTACTCTCCTTCCCTTACCTATCTTCCCAACCCTCCCTGCAAACCAGAGCCCACCCAGGTAGCCACATTGGGAGCTGGCTCCCATGAGGGTAGTGGGGGAGGAGAGGTGGAGTCAAGCCCTGCTCCCTGCAGCATGGCTGTGGGCAGAGCCCTCACTTGAAGTCAGGAGGCTTAGGCTTGAGTTCTGGACCAGACTCACTCTCACCTTGCTGTGGGGCTCTCGGTGAGTTCTTGGCCTCTCTGGCCTTCTCTTTCCTCTTCTATAGACAAGGAGTTTGAACCAGACATCTATTAGGGAGGCTTGAAACAGATCTGAAGTAAGCACAGGGCCAGACCTCTATCTACTAACAAGGTGGGGCAGAGGGGGTATCTGATGTCAGGCCCTGTCTCCCACCCAGGCACCCCTCTTCCCCCCAGCCTCTGCCCCATGAGGGGAAACGAGGACCAACAACCTGCTGTTAGCATTCTTGGGCTTCTGCATGCAGGGAGGAAGCTCATGCACCCCCACACCCTGAAGGGGCTGGAAAGAGCCAGGGTCTTGTTCTGGTCTGACTGTCCAGGGCTGAAACGTGTAGCTTTGAGTAAAAATCATCTCAACTCTTGGCCTCAGGGTGTGGGGAAGAGAAGCATGTGCGTGTGCAGATGTAACCACTCCAGACATTTCTCCTCTGCCAGGTTCCCAGAACTGGAGGAGGAGATGGGGACATGGGGCCCCCGCTTTACTTCCAGAAATGCTGGCACCCAGGGCAGGGTGTCGAGGTATCTGGAGATGGTCAGACCTGGGGCTGCTGCTTCTCTGCCCCTGCATGACTCTGGGAGAACCCCATCTGCAACCTGCTTCAACCTGTGTTCACAAGGAACAGTGACTGATGCTTACCGTGGGCCTGGTACTGTTCTATGTATTTAACAGGTCTTAACTCATTTAATTTATAGGTAAACTTTGAGACAGCCCCAAGGCTTAGCATCCTCACTTTATAGACAGTTTGAGGCTCAGAGAGGGGCAGGGACTCACCCGGGGTCACAGTCTTATGTCACTGGGAAGGCTGCTTAAAAGCCAGGTCTGAGGGCAATCCTGGTTTCCATTTGTTACCCTGAGGTAGTCCTTTTCAGAGTATATATTAGACACTAAATAAATGATGAAGATGTTTGATTACTGCCATGTAATGGAAAGATCCCTGTCCTAGTCCAGTTCTACCCCAACTCCCTGTGTGTCCTTAAGAGAGTCCTTTTCTGGCTGGGCACAGTGGCTCATGCCTATAATCCCAGCACTCTGGGAGGCCGAGGTGGATGGATCATCTGAGGTCAGGAGTTTGAGACCAGCCTGGCCAACATGGTGAAACCCTGTCTCTACTAAAAGTACAAAAAATTCACCAGGCGTGGTGGTGGGCACCTGTAATCCCAGCTACTTGGGAGTCTGAGACAGGAGAATCACTTGAACCCAGGAGGCAGAGGTTGCAGTGAGCTGAGATCATGCTGTTGCACTCCAGCCTGGGCAGGAAAAGCAAAACTAGGTCCTAAATAAATAAATAAATAAATACAAAGAAAGTCGTTTTCCCTCTTCAGCATTACTTTCTCTGGCTAAAAAACAGAATGATAAGTGAAGGCTCAGTAAATGCTTGGAGGTAGATTTTGGATTCACCTCCAGGCATCCAAGTATCTTGGATATCTTGAAGGAACTTGAATTTCTATTTCTTTCATTCATTCATTTTGAGATGGAGTCTTGCTCTGTTGTCCAGGCTGGAGTGCAATGGCACGGTCTTGGCTCACTGCAACCTCCTCTGCCTACCAGGTTCAAGTAATTTTCCTGCCTCAGCCTCCCAAATAGCTGGGATTACAGGCACCTGCCACCATGCCTGGCTAATTTTTTTTGTATTTTTAGTAAAGATGGGGTTTCATCATGTTGGCCAGGCTAGTTTCGAACTCCTGACCTCGTGATCCGCCCGCCTCAGCCTCCCAAAGTGCTGGGATTACAGGCATGCGCCACCGCACCCAGCCTTGGATTTCTATTTCTACAAATACCTGCCTTTCATGACTTGCCTGGGGAGGCCCAATCTGTAATGAGACCTCAGGGTCTCCCAGCACTTCTCCCAACCTACCCCCAAAACCTCTAAGAGCACTCTAAAGAGAATGAGCTGCATAGAGCCCAGCTCCACTGCTCCAAGGGACAGAGAAAAGTCCCCTTTCCTGGGGGCAGCTGCATGATCCTACAGGTGCCATGGTGTGCCTAGGTGCCACCCCGCTTCACCTGGCTGGGGGAGAGGCTCCAACTGCCTCAGCTCAATGAACATCACTTCCTCTTCTCATCACCCAGTCCAGTCCAGGTATCACCTCAGCTCCACTGCCCCCAGATGGAGCCACCTGAGTACCCAATGCCTTCTGGGCTCAGAAACAGAGTCCACTGCCTTCTCACTCCTTTGCATTCAGAGTCTGTCCCCTTAGTGCTGCCCCCTCACCTGTCACACCTGGGCTCTTTCCCTTACCTGGGCCACTGTCCTAAGAAGCAGAGTCTCTACAGCTCCAGCCACACTCTCCTCTTCTCCAGAATTCTCCAGATCCTCCTCAGCTTCCTGCCTCTGGTGGTCATCTCAACAGAGCAGGGTCTTCCTCCATCAGGTCAAGGTGGGGGTAGGGGAAGGATTGGGAACAGGGACTCCCCTAGGTTCTCAGGTACAGTCAGTCTACCTAAGCCTATCCAGCAAAGACACTGACCCCTGAAGTAGACGGAAGGGCTTCAGACCCAAAGGCAGGAGGATTAGGCTTTAGCTCTTGCTCACAGACTGCTGAGACCTGGGGCAAGCCCCTGCCCCTCGTGGGGCCCTCGGTTTTGCAATCTGCAGAATAAGGAAATGGGTTCCTCAATCTACAATCATCCGGCTATAATAGTCTTTTACCTTTGTATACTGCGTGGGTAAATTCCTGAAACCAAGCTGCTTTCACCCCTGGATCTCACTTGATGTTCCCAACAGCCTGTTACCGTTGACAAACGAGAAAGCTTAGGTCCAAGGGAACAAAATTGCCCAAAGTCGCATGGCAAGCTGGAGGCAGAGCCTGGGTGCAGTCCTTGAATCCTGATCTTTCTCTGGCCCTTTACCCTCTATGATGCTGGGACTCTGTGCGACTTCCTCTAACCTATTGTCCCATTTGTAAAAGGACTGTAAAGCTGTCCCATTTGTAAAAGGACTGTTGTGAGGACTGAATTAGGAGAGGCGATGAAGAGGGTCATTCTTTGCAAATCATAAAAGAAAGGACCACAGAACGATGCACTGGGTCGTTAGGTTACTATTTATTACTGTTATCTTCGCTACGGCGCCCCCAAGTGTCGATCACGAGAAGCTTGGCTTGCGCAGGCGCTCTTTGGTGTTTACGAAGGCCTCGAGGCCCCGCTTTTGCGCGTGCGCTTCTCGCCCGGGACCGCCCAGAGGTTTCCATGCCGGACGAGGGGCGGCTCTGCTTCGCGCCCTCTGGTGGTTGTCGCCGCTCTGTCACCACGGCTCCCAGGGTCCCTTGTCGGCTCCACTTTCGTTGAGACGTCTCCACAGCCCGACAGCGGCGGCGATCTGAGGAGAGGCAGGAGGAAACACGGCGCGCCCGGCATCGTCCTTCTCCGGGGACTCCAGCATCTCAGTCACCGCTTCACTAAGTCCCAGGTGCAGGTTCTGGCATCCATCACGGCAAACTGAAGACCTTGGTGAATTCCATCGGAATGGCGCGCGCATTGCCACATGGGAATTGTAGTTCATGGGTAGGACCTTTTCGGGGCTGGGCTGCTGGAAAAACTACATTTCTCAGGAGCTCAAGAGTCAGACTGACAGAAAGGGGGCTCGCAGCATGTTGGGAGATGGAGTTTGGGGAAGGTCGTGGGTTCGTGCTGGCAGGGAAACAGTGAAGCAATGGAGCCAGGTGCTCTGAGTCTGGGCCTGTGGGTTCGAGTTGGGCAGAAGTTATACAGTAGCTCTCATAGGAGCGGAGTAACATTGTTGCGGCTGTGTTTTAGAAAGAATACTACTTATTAGTTGTGTGATCTGAGCGATCAGGACAAATCCTCCTTTATCTTATTTATTTATTTATTCATATTTTGAGACAGGATCTCTCACTCTCTGTCTCCCAGGCTGGAGTGCAGTGGCTCCAGAACTGCTGGCCTCCCGCCTCACCCTCCCAGAGTTCTGGGATTACAGGCGTGAGCCATCAGGACTGGCCAGATACCGTTTTATCAACTACAGTGGACCTTAAGGTTAAAGCAAACGTCACCTACCTACGAGCGGAGGGTTCAGAGCCCAGCTAGCATGGCAACATCTTAAATTCCTACTGCTACCAGAAAAGCCACACTCTGACTAAACCCCTAGCAACAGGAGCTATCAGGCAAATTGTCAGACCCTTCTTAACTGGGATTTACAACCCAGACCACTACAACACTGATTGACAGAGGACATGCCTTACAAACATTCTTTCCTGATAAGCAACTGCAAACCTCAAGCCAGTTTCAGCAAGTTCGTAGAGACTGCACACAAACTGTCTTTGTGTCCTATAGTTCACCTTTAGATGCAAAGAGCCAAATTCTACCTCATTTTAATGCAACAACCCCATCCCAAAGTGAACATGGAATGTATGTTACATGTTTACCCATTGCACATGCACTCACCTCCCCTCATAAATATGTATAGCTTTTCCCCAAACCTGCTGAGTATGTATGATTATTGTGAAATACAGAGTCTATGAGGCATAAAAACCAGCCTGCCCTTTCCCTCTACAAAGAGAGAGCACCTCTGTTACATGCAGGAGACTTGTCTCTTCTCATTTTGCAAATTGATGCCATTAATGAAACTGCCCTGATGACATCTCCCACTGGTCGACTCACAAGTTCCTTAACTTGGTGTGTTCATAACTTTTTTTTTTTTTAGCTGACTCTTTGGTTGGAGGGCAGCTACTCCTCACTGGGCCAGGTTTGTCTTCACCCACTGCCCACAAACAGTGTCACATTGAATCGGCTGTTTTTCACATAGATCAACGCCCTAAAACCTTAGAAAGGTGGGAGGATTTCAGGGTGGGGGGAAACTGGGCCTGATTTGCTCTGCCCCTCATCCCTGTCTCTTTGACAAGGGGTTGGGCCTCAAGGTAGAAGCTGTAGAGGAGGTCCCACCTTTCTACCCCTTTTCCTGATCTGAGCTCTCATGGTCTCCTACCTTGAAGACTTTCTTGTCAGTTTCCCAGAACCTCCCCCTCCCCCATCTCAATCTCTTTTGTGCCTTGGGAATTTCACAACCACCTCTCTTCACTGATCCTGGTGGCTTTCTCCTAGGGTCAGCCAAGAGCTCTGCAGAGTGGCAGGCTGTGGCTGGCCTGCTGCTGGGAGCGTGGGTGATACTGTGACAGGAAGCTTCCATGTGGCTGTGCCTGGTTTTCGTTCTAACACTTCTTGAAACCTAACACACTTCAACAGAGGGTCTAACTTCTTTGTGAGGGGATACTCTTGCCATTTTGTCCCAATCCACCTCTGCTATGTCTCATATCAAAGAAATTTGCATTCCTTTTATTCACATAACTTTGACCCGGCTTCTTTTTTTTTTTTTTCTTTTTGAGATGGAGTCTCGCTCTGTTGCCCAGGCTGGAGTGCAGTGGTGCAATCTCGGCTCACTGCAACCTCTGCCTCCTGGGTTCAAGCAATTCTGTGCCTCAGCACCCCTAAGTAGCTGGGATTACAGGCGCCCACCACCACACTCAGCTAATTTTTGTATTTTTAGTAGAGACAGGGTTTCACCATCTTGGCCAGGCTGGCCTTGAACTCCTGACCTTGTGATCCACCTGCCTTGGCCTCCCAAAGTATTGGTATTACAGGTGTGAGCCACCATGCCTGGCCAACCTGGCTTCTTTTAAAATAATATAGGATCATCTTCCCTTCTCGTGTCCATTTCTTCCTTCCTTTTTTTTTTTGAGATGGAGTTTTTCTCTGTCACCCAGGCAGAGTGCAGTGGCATGATCATATATATATCAGCACGATCATATATCTATCAGATGGAGTTTTGCTCTTGTTGCCAAGGCTGGAGTGCAATGGCGTGATCTTGGCTCATGGCAACCTCTGCCTCCCGGGTTCTAGCAATTCTCCTGCCTCAGCCTCCCGAGTAGGATTACAGGCAGGCACCACCATGCCCAGCTAATTTTGTATTTTTAGTAGAGATGGAGTTTCTCCATGTTGATCAGACTGGTCTCAAACTCCCAACCTCAGGTGATCTGCCTGCCTCAGCCTCTGAAAGTGCTGAGATTATAGTTGTGAGCCACCACGCCTGGCCCCACATTGGTCAATATTGAATGATGCTTGATTCTCCCCTTGGAGGGAGGAACAATATAATTTCAGTTAACTCCATCCCAAACACTGTTCCTCCTTTAAGTTGTCAACCTAAATAACAGAGAGGCTCTTTAAAAGAAAATGATGTTTATTTGGGAATAGAACATTGCAGTGGGAATACACATGCCTTAGAAACCAGTGCATTTTCAGGGAAGTAAAGAAAGACAGGTTTTCCAAGGAAAAAAAATGAGGAAGATTACATAATTGTTTTGAAATAATTATGCTTGGCTACAGAGATCAGGTGACACCAGTCTGGGGTTGGCCAGGCAGTTGCTGGGCAGATTTCCTCACAGAAGTATTTTTTTTTGGTAGAAGGTTGTAGTGGCTTTTGTACCAGGTTGTGGTTTTTATAGTATTTTGTGATTGTCTTTCTTTCCTTTCTTTCTTTCTTTTTGTTTTTTTGAGACAGAGTCTGGCTCTGTTGTCCAGGCTGGAGTACAGTGCATGGTCTTGGCTCACTGCAATCTCTACCTCCTGAATTCAAGCAATTCTCCTGCATCAGCCTCCAGAGTAGCTGGTATTACAGGGATGTACGACCATGCCTGGCTAGTTTTTGTATTTTTGTGGAGACAGGGTTTTGCCATGTTGGCCAGGCTGGTCTTGAACTCCTGACCTCAAGTGATCTGCCTGCCTTGGCTTCCCAAAGTGCTGGGATAACAGGTGTGAGCCACTGAACCTGGCCTGTGATTGTTTTTCTTTTACTTTTGAGACTAAGTTTCACTCTTGTTGCCCAGGCTGGAGTGTAATGGCACCATCTCAGCTTACTGCAATGTCGTCCACCTCCTGGGTTCAAGTGATTCTCCTGCCTCAGCCTCCTGAGTAGCTGGGACTACAGGTGTGTGCCACTACACCTGGGTAACTTTTTTGTATTTTTAGTAGAGATGGGGTTTCACCATTTTGGACAGGTTAATCTCTCAAGTGATCCACCTGCCTTGGCCTCCCAAATTGCTGGGATTACAGGCGTGAGCTACGACCCCTGGCCTGTGATTGTTTTTCTTGAGAGGCATACAAGCATGAGAATTCTCTCTTCATGTCCTTCCCTGACTCTACTTGTCAGGGTTTATTTTTTTTTTTAGTTTAATTAATTAAGCTGCTAAATTCAAGGTGAATTTGTGTAAATAAAATTATTAAAATTAATTTTTTGGAGATAGGGTCGTACTCTGTCACCCAGGCTGGCGTGCAGTGGCGAGATCTTGGCTCGCTGCAACCTCTGCCACCTAGGCTCAAGTGATTCCCTCAGCCTCCTGAGCAGCTGGGACTACAGGTGTGCGCCCCACTTAATTTTATAATTTTGTAGAGACATGGTCTTGCCATGTTGCCCAGGCTTATCTTGACTCCTAGGGTCAAGCAATCCTCCCACCTTGGTCTCCTAAAGTGCTGGGATTATAGATGTGAGCCACTGCATGTAGCCTTGTTTTTTTTTTTTTTTTTTTGAGACACAGTCTTGCTCTGTCACCAGGCTGGAGTGCAGTGGCATGATCTCGGTTCACTGCAACCTTCGCCTCCCAGGTTCAAGCTATTCTCCTGCCTTAGCCTCCCGAGCAACTGGGACTACAGGCATGTGCCACCATGCCCAGCTAACTTTTGTATTTTTAGTAGAGACAGGGGTTCCCCATGTTGGCCAGGATGGTCTTCATCTCCTGACCTTGTGATCTTCCCACCTCGGCCTTCCAAAGTGCTGAGATTAAGCTGTTTTTTTTTTAAATATTAGTGACTGTTTTTTTTTTTTTCCGAGACAGGCTTTCCCTTCGTTGCCCAGGCCAGAGTGCAGTGGCACGATCAGGGCTTACTGTAGTCTCAACCTCCTAGATTCAAGTGATCCTCCTACCTCAACCTCCCAAAGTGCTGGGATTACAGATGGAGCCACCCACTCCAGGCCAAGTGACTCCATTTTGATTCTGGCAACTTTCACAAAAGTAACAGTGAACAATGAATGCACGTAGTATGCACACAAGGTCAGGGAGTGCCAAGACCCCATTAGAGACTGCAATAGTCTGAATGCTGGTAACCCCCCAAAATCCATACATTGGAAACTGATACCCAGTGCAACAGTATACAGATGTGTGGTTTCCGGGGAGTGATTAAGTCATGAGGGCTCCACACTCATGAATGGAATTAGTGCCCTTATCAAAGAGGGTCGAGGGAGCTTCCCAGGCCTCTTTTACTATGTGAGAAGAGAGAGAGAAAGCATTGTCTTTGAAGCAGAGAGCAGGTCCTCACCAGACACTGAATCTGTTGGTGCCTTGATCTTGGAATTCCCAGCCTCCAGAAAGGCGAGCAATAAATTCCTCTTGTTTATAAGTTACCCATGCTAAGGTGTTCCGTTATAGTAGCCCAAACAGACTAAGACAGCTGGAAATGAACCCACTTTCTCCAAATGGATGTTTTTAACCATTTCAGAC